GATCATGTTGAGATCATAGACAAGGAACAACATTGAAAATTCGTAAACTTAAGGAATCAGCACATATGCTAGGCCACAAAAATCTGGTGAAATAAATTATAACCAATGGACCCTTAAAGTTGTCTGTTTTCATTAAATTAAATTATCGCTCTAATTTAACATTGAGCTCTCCGGATTTCATCCTCCTTGTGATTATCCATACGGATTACCAAGATTTTCATTACTTATATATATATACATATATATGCGTTTCGCCCTGGAATGGACTTTATCAAGGCAAATGTAAGGATTTTATTTTGCAACTAATCTTTATAAAAGGATGCTGCTAATGATATCATGGACCGAGCGTGTGACCAGAGATGAGGTTTTGGAGAAGATGCAAACAAAATGGAGGCTTATACTTAACATCAGGAAGAGGCAGATGAAATTTCTGAGATACGTAATGAGAAAGGAGGACCTGGAGAATTTGATACTCGCAGGTCGAATAGAGGGAAAGAGAGACAATGGAAAGCAATGAATGACATAATTGGCGAGCTTAGGGCGGCCTTGGGGAGGTAACAGAGGGACAGAATATGTTGAGAGCTATAAAGGTGAGGAAGAAGTGGAGAGCCATGACCGACTACATTCTGAAAGGACACGGCGCATAAAAAGAAAATAATTTATAAACACATACCAAAAGATTAGTTTTTCAAAATTTTAAATTTAAGAATACTCATACATATATATCAGGCGAACTGAAAACTAGGGAAGATGCTAAGTGACATAATTTAATGTCTGAGAAACCAAAGCGACTATACGTTTTTTATTATATAATTAATAATTATATCATTTTATTTTGAGATGAATTTATGTATTATATATTTTAAATAATAGATATTTATGAATTTAATTTTCTTCTTTTAATTTAATTGTTTTTCTTTCGTTAAAGAAATAAATTTATTTTTTCTATGTTTATATGCAATTATGCAATAATTTAAATGAAAATTTTTTTCTGTTAATATTTGAGCCGGTTTCTGCATGTAGCTGCAGGCAATAATACACATCATTTTTTTATATCTGTAATTTTGTAGCAATTTGACGTTTGGAATACCCTTCTATAGAAAGAATTTTCACTTGGGCCCATTTTCAATACCAGTCTGTTTAGTTCTTGGCATTTTAATGATTTCTGAAAATGAATTCCAATCACACCTTAATCTAGATGGAATTGAACCTTTACGAAACAGTGGGGTTGAAATATTTGCAAATTTCTGCTCTACACTTTGGAAAGGATATCATATTTTAACCAAATTTCCAAAGATTATGTAAATAAATTTATAATGTTTGTGGAAAAATGTGTTTGAATTTTATATAAGGTTTACATATATACAAAATAAGTGAATTTATTTATCTAAATATACAAAATTTGCCTTTTTCTATGAACTTAGAAAAACAATTCAGGGTGATCCTATATTTTTGATTGGTAGTGTACATCCTTACAAGACTTACATTACCTACTGCGTAAAATGTAAATAAAATCATTTGTTCAAATATATACGCTGTCAAGACGTCCTTACGTGACATACACTGGCTGAAGTCGACGTATATACAAAATATCACGACGTATTTATGAGACATATATTGCCTGCTTTCGACGTATTAAGACGTCCTTATCAGACATATATAGCTTATTGCAGACGTATACCTACACTTTCTTGACGTATTTATACGTCCATAGAAGACGTACATTGCCGCCTTGAAAGCGTATATATATATATCGACTTATATAGGTACGTCCTGACATCGACTTATAGAGACGTATTTTTCAAGATGTAGCTATTTTGTGATGTCAACGAACACTCGTTGTCACTTTTGTAATGTCAACGAATACTCGTTTTTACTTTCGTAATGCTCGTTGTAGTAGAGATTTTGTAATCGCAGATAAAACTATAGTGATGCCGTTGAACAATACTGGTGTCAAACGCCTTCGAATAACACTCGCACTAATAGTACTTGCACGATAATACTCGCTCGAAAAGTAACCAGCGAATAGTAATCCGTATAGTGATCAGTATAGTGATCCGTATAGTGATCAGTATAGAGAAATAGTATAGAGGATAGAGTAGAAATGATGATGCGTATTGAGTGATCAATTAGACGCCACGCTAATTCCCATATATGCGTTTCCTTTATGGTCCCGTGATCTACTTAATTCAATAATGGGATCGCCTGTATTTCTTCACTGGCGATCTATGTTCAAACTCAAGATCTATATAAGAAGCTATATATCCTTACGTGACAAATTGACTGCTATCGATGCATATAGGCTTTCCAAACGTTCTTCAGTCAGTTATGTGCCATACGTCATACACATTTAGGCGATCATGCATATTTCGATACATGACTGACGAGGCAGATTTTTTCCCGCAATACGTTGCCATTTCTTTCTGCGATAGGCCAGTTGCCATCCAAGGCTATAGAACCCGGTCTGCCCTGTTATTTACCCAAATCTGAGGGCGCGGGGAATAGAATAGGATTCGGGTCTTTCGCAAGAGTATTAGCATGTCTGTCAGCCAGTTATGTGCCATGCGTGATACATGCTTAGGCGATCATGTATCTTTTGATACATGACTGACGAGGCAGATATTTTTTCCTGCAGTAGGTTGACATTTCTTTCTGCGATAGAACAATTGCCATCCAGAGCTATAGAACTCGGTCTGTCCTGCTATTTATCCATAGCTGAAGAGAGAAGAAGAGGATTCACACCTTTCTGAAAGGTATTAGCACGTAAGTGAATCTAATGTATTCGACTGGAATTCGAACTCGGTTCTCTGATTCCTCAGTCCGAGCCACTATCCATTACTCCACTGTTTAAACTCCACCGTGCCAGATGTTCATACAGGATTGATATTGTTTGTTTTCGACGTGTATAGTAGTATTTTCACATCCTTACGAAACATACAGTCTGCTGTTGACGTATATACGCTTTCATGGCATAGTCATATGTCCATATGAGTCCTACATTACCTGTTGTCGATCTAAATGCGTTTTTAAAATGTAGTTACAGAAGAGCTGAAGAGAGGACTTGTATATTTCTTTTTTTATATATATATATATATATATATATATATATATATATATATATATATATATATGCAAGTATGCAGAAAAATAGTAAGGAAAATGTCAGGTAAATAATCCGGAGTTCCTTAGTACTTTTTTTATATTTTTAAGAAGACAGTGCTCCATACATAAGTAGAGCTTATATTATAATATTTAAAAAAAAATATGATTCCTTCGCTACGTAAGAGTACTCATGTTTCAAAAACGAGAGCCGAAACCAACAATATAATTATTAAAATTAAGTTGAATCAAGGTGTTGGGTCCCGTTTCATCTTCAAGCGAAAATTTAGGAATATTAAGCTATCTTGTGGTTTGGCGTGTTTATAAGTATGGTCCATTGCAACATTAATTACTATGGAAACCGCTAGGCCCGCAAAAGCATAAACGACAGCGATAAAATACTAGTTAAATCCGACAAAACGGGAAACTTCTAGAAATACCTTGATTCAACTTAATTTTAATAATTATATTGTTGGTTTCGGCTCTCGTTTTTGAAACATGAGAACTCTTATATAGCGAAGGAATCATATATAAAGCGATCATCATCACACACATACATACCTATAGAAATTCACATTTCAATAACAATCGTTCATTGGATAGAAATACACGCTACTGTTTTATGCGACAATTTTGAAATCGCTATATTTTCGTATAGTTGATTTTGTGTACTATTGGGAGAATCGACTCCCAGAAATCTCCCCAAAGCTCATTCACCGATCGGTCTGTGTCGACCAATCGTATTCTCTGCACGTGAAGAGTGGTTCTTCCCGCGCAGCACTTCTGATCCAATGATCACCTTTAAATGCAAGAAAAAAGAGCAGACACACCAGTGTGACTTCAGCTGCCACAGAAATCCACGACAGTTGAAGCTATGCGCCGATCTTGTCACTCAACACCCTTAAACTGCATATTCCTTTACACTTACATATTTTTCCTGTTGCAGAGCAAAACTTTTAAAAAATATTTATAACAAACTATTAACTCTTTCTTTTCAGAGAACTTTGATAGACAATGATAGTCAAAGAGAGACAACTCTCGTCTTACTCATTGCATGCTTTTTCTTGCACGTTCTTTATTCTATGCATTGTTGAATACAATTTTTATATATAATGATACCTTTGCCTTGTCCTTTCTTAACATCAGTTTGGTTTCCTAATCAAAATTAAATAAATGTGGTGGAAGTCCGCCATATATATATATATATATATATATATATATATATATATATATATATATATATATATATATATATATATAGTTGTTCTATTCCCACTGTGTCATTCTCGCCGTGCGTAAACTGCAAATGCGACACACACAACTAGAAACACGCACGCACACAGTTACCGACACACTTGCATGTTGTGATGCACATGTCGAATAACTCTTTGCCCTCAGTTACAAATTGACAATTCCTTCGGGTCAGTAGGATTTTTATTAAGAATTCTTTATCTAATGCCAACCATTTTCTTTTCTGTATGGAAGTCATTCCTTCCATTTCATCTCACCGCCTCGTCATGATTTCGCAAATGCCCGGAAGCCGACAGCCGGTGAACCAATTCAAAGTGTACCTGCTCAATAAGACACCCGCCTCTTCCAAATGGTTCTGCGTCATTCTATACCCCTCGCCCCGCGTTAACCAGAGGCTATTAAAACTGCAGGGGCGAAAGATTGGCATCTGACACTTCATACATTGTCTGTTCTTTTCTCGAGCAAGAGTTAAACGTTTGGATTCGTCACTGGCACATTGTTATCGTCAATCGTTTAAAGCCAGCTTTCATAGCCCTGAGAAGTGGTCCAGCAGGTTTTTCGTATTTTTTCCTATCTTTTTTTTTATGTCCTTATTTTAGTTTGAACTTACCTCTTCTTTTACTTGTTTTCTTGGATTGATTAGCTTAGGGACATATCACACTGAAACAACGGCTCTCGTGCGATCTGCGAAGTTAAGCAACGTTAGAGCCTGGTCAGTACATAGATAGTTCACCTCTTGGGAATAACAAGTGCTGTATGCTTGTATATGCGGGTGGTGTGATATGTAACAGCTTGGAATAAGAAATCAGGGTTCGAATTCCAGTTCGTTATATTCATTTATGCGAAAATAACCTTAGGAAAGATATTAATCTACTTTTCCCCCATCTATAGGTTAAATAGTAGGACTTATATCGGAAAATCGTTATTACAATCGAAGGATATGTTCTGGATGTAAATAACCAGGAAAAGGTTGATAATCCAAAAAAAAAACGAGCCAATCGAGCATTGATTTGATTCCTTTTTATATTTCTAATTCCAATATTGAATGTTAGGACCTCTTAGCCTTTACCATTTGAAATCCTAGTTTTTACGTGAGATCGAAAAAAACATACGACCACAAAAAAGGTAACAATGTTATTAACAACAATGAAAGCGATAAAAACAGCAACATAATTCCGCCTACAAATTAATTGAAACAACCGCTTTAGTTACTTTTCTTTCACCATACAGTCAGTTTTAGACCCACTGGGTCTTGCACTATATACATGCATACATACATACATACATACACACACACACACACACACACACATATATATATATATATATATATATATATATATATATTCGGCGACACGCTATCATTCTTAGACATTATGTTACGTAGAAACAACAACTATCTTCAGTTTTAAAGTTTTAAGTTTAGAGGAAAGCTATTAGCAAGAATGACGTGGTTAATTTTTATTCCGAGCTCAGTAATAAAATCAAATCGGGAATAATTATAGGATTCTATTTAAGAGCATTAAGAATATGCAGCCCCCAATACTTATCCAAATAAGAAATATACATAAAAAGCACTTTAAAAAATATCCAATATCCTTATAATTTCATCTACAACATCAAAAGAAAGTTACACAAATTATACGACCGCAAAAACGATAACAACGTTATTAACAACAATGAACGCGATAAAAACAGCTACATAATTCTGCCGACAAAGTCCATAACATCCAATAACCAAAACGATCTATCCACTCGAAACAATTTCAAAAGAATTACAACCACATCAAAAACTAATATGGATTTGATCAGAACCAAAAACAACCACAATCTTACTACTACTACTACTACTACTACTACTACTACTACTACTACTAATAATAACAATTCTGAAGCGGGTATATCCAAAATAAATTGCCAGAACTCTTCCTCAAAAAGAGATTGGGGAAACTTGCAGAAATTAAAAAGCGTATCTATGAACATAAAAGAGACGTTATACAAGGTAATTTATCAAATGTTTTAGTCATACTTAAAAATCAATAAGATCACGATTTTGACCTAACGAATGCCACACTTCTTAAAAGAGAAAGAAACTTAGAAGCAAAATTCTTGAAAGTGTCGCTATCGAATCTTATCAAAATATAAATCTGCGGTCTGGATCCTTCCCAAGAATTATTACTTTCCCAAACCAAGATACATGACAACAAGAATCCTAAAAAAAAATGAAAAGAAAACGGTTAAATCCATACCCTCCCCTTATTCAAAACATACAACACATATATCCATCCCAATCCAAAATAATTTAAATAATAATTTACATATATATACACATATAAAAAAAAACAGACTTTCATTTATTAGGCATTGAACTGTATCACCTCACGTCCATGAACTTATCTGACTTTTCCGCTAACCTGATGAATATTCATGATTACTCCTATACTCCAAAATTTTCAAAAACCAATGACATATTTGCTCTTGAATATAAATACTTGTCACAAAATAAAAACTTTGCATTTGTCTTGATAAAGTCTCTCAGAGGAGGAAACGCGTCGGCTAAGATAAGTTTTTCTTTTGTCTATATTCATATTGTCTTTTTACGATATACTCTATTTGAAGCTTTTACACACACACACACACACACACACACACACACACACACACACACACACACACACATATATATATATATATAGATAGAAATAATTAGGAGGATTTGAAATAATCATAATTAATTAAATCATCGAGTCTAGAAGAAACCTCAACAGAATGCAGAAAGCACTGGATGGCTGTTTCGTCCTATATTTGGGACTACATCAGCAGTCCTCATCGACTACCGAGAATTGAAACCCGAACAGTGACGAAGAGGTAACGAATTAGACTCGGGATATATATATATATATATATATATATATATATATATATATATATATATATATAACTTGCGGGGTAGATGCCTGTATTTATCAATGTATGTGTATATGTTCGTGTTTTATCAATGTATGTATGTATAATCGCTTATATGTGACTTTCATTGTATGTATATGTTGTCGTTTTTTGTAAGGGCCGTGGACATATTTCCTGTCTTGTGTATTATAATCTGATCGTGTGTGTATTGTCTTTTGCAAGATTTCACCGTCCTTAACCCATATCTTCTATTGATATGTTTCTAAGTTGTAACGCACTTCAGAGCAGCATTAGATCTTAACGTTTATTTCAACTTAATTTCAATAAAAACAAAATAAATAAAAAAACATGTATTTTTTCCTCAGTTTCTTCTTTAAATAATTTCATAATTTTAAACCTAATATAGATTAAATTTAAAATTGGTAATTTTTAATTTTTTAGTATAATTTAATATTTATTAGTTAGAATGAATTCTATTTTAGTCTAACCCTAACATTAAAGCATTAGATAATTATTATAACCAAATTTCGTTGTCAAGTTTTTTGAATTCTCATATACTTGTATTTTGATTGGTCATTGCAGCTTATGTAACAACGTTTCCCCTAGCAAGGGGTGTTTGATTGATTTGAACCTTTTAAAACCCATTATTCTACATTCAACACCATCATTTGATAAGACACCAGAAGTGTTGAAACAAAATGAATATTTTTGTAGTAATTTTATAACATTTTATGTTATAATTTTCGAATAAAAAATTATATTTGCAGTATAGTAGCACTCTTTTAAGAATAGTATTTGTTGGTTATTGGAATTTATTCCGTATACACCAATCTATACTTGGGTATATATATATATATATATATATATATATATATATATATATATATATATATATATATATATATATATATATGTGTGTGTGTAAACAGGTGTCTATAAAATTCATGTGCACTTTAAAAAATTTATAACTTTATTTGTATTTGCGATAGAAATAATTTGTAAAAAGGATTAGAAAGAAGTAAATCTATATTGTTTAAGGTTTTATTAAAATTTTATTTAAGTTTCCACATGTCCTCCATCATTAGCAATGCAAAAGGTAATACGATTTTGCAGTTTACGGAAAACATTTGCCAACTGATTTACAGTAATGCCTGAAATCACATTAATTATTTTAGCTTTCAAGTCTTCTAAAGAACTAGGTTTGGTTGCATACACAATTGTTTTCATATGTCCCCATAAAAAAATCTAATGGAGTCAAATCTGGCGAACGTGGACGCCAATAAAATGGTTCACTCCTTCCGATGCATGTGTTAGGAAATTCCTGATTTTGTGGTAAAGAATTATTCAATAACTATCCTTAAAACTGGTTACATTAAACTTTATAACATTTTTTACAGATTATTTCTATCGCAAATATAAATAAAGTTATAAATTTTTTAATGTGCACTCGAACTTTATGGACACCCTGTATTTACACACACACACACACACACACACACACACAGAGAGAGAGAGAGAGAGAGAGAGAGAGAGAGAGAGAGAGAGTGTATGTAAATATAAAAGTGGACATTGCGGTCAACAGCTAGCAGGTTAAACACAATCTTCAGCCCATGAAGATTACATTTAAGCATGAAACAAACTATCGCCGCTGGGTATTGACTTTAATGACTATATATATATATATATATATATATATATATATATATATATATATATGTGTGTGTGTGTGTGTGTGTAGATATGGTGCGCGATATGATTCGGCCAGGTGTTAAGAAATCCTCCAGGTGGAGAAACTAGACACGTCTTGTCAAGATGACATAAAGAGAATGTTTTTACTTTTCCCTTGTAATCTGTTTTATACGCCATCTAGCGTTAAGGAAAGTCCATTAGCAGCCAAGATTTAGTTGTGTAGCACTTCTGCTATTGTGGACATATTATATATTCCTTACGAGAGTTACACTGACTGCTGTCGACGTATATATACATTTCGAAGCCGTACTTGTAAGTACGACTTATATTGCTTGCTTTCAACGCATATATACGCTTTCAAGACGTATCGGAAGTTAGGAACATATTAAATAAAAAAAGGTTGAAAGTGGAATGTACTAATGTACTTTTATTGGCGGCATTTTGTGAGTCTCGATGAAGTATAAGTAAATGGCCATTAGTACACCAGGTTGTTTGTAACAGTTTCGATAAAGAAGAAGAAGAAGAAGAAGAAGAAGAAGAAGAAGAAGGAGCAGGAGGAGGAGAAGAAGAAGAAGAAGAAGAAGAAGGAGAAGAAGGAGGAGGAGGAGCAGGAGAAGAAGAAGAAGAAGAAGAAGAAGAAGTATTTGCAAGAGATCACGTCATGAAACATAAACAAAACAATAGTTTCACTTTTAGGGGATGTGTGTAGGAAAAACATGATTTCTGGTAGTGTGTAGGAAAAACATGATTTCTAAGGATACAGTAAACAACATCCAATAACATCATTTTTATATAATCAATAAGCAGTCATCTTATACTACAGGTATCGGATAAATTCATGAAAATGTGCTATATTTTTTGATCACGCCTTATATATATATATATATATATATATATATATATATATATATATATATATAGAGAGAGAGAGAGAGAGAGAGAGAGACTGGGAGACACAATAGCGCGATAATTAGCAAAGTTGTCTTGCAGGCCAATTCGATATTGTTAAAATGTTGTCTATGCTATGACAGAATTGGAAAATCTGACAGCTAAAATTTAGTAAATTTTTAATTGGATCATTCAACGTATCTCTTTTATTTGATTGAATTATTATTCTGAAACTCTTCCATTCATTATCGACAATACATTATTACCAGCATGAAAATTACATAGTTTTATTAACTAAAAAGAGATAGATCGAAAAAAAAAAGCAAGCTCGAAAAAAAAAAAAAATGACTGAAGTATGAGAGAAATGAAGACTGAAGATGGAAAAAAAAATTATTTGGAAATAGAGAAAAGACAGAAGGAAATATACAGAAATATAACTGAATCAAAACGAATCGAAGAGTATATATGGCAGAGTAGGCACAGTCAAAGATTGAGAAAAGTGCAAATCACTTTGGTGCAATTATAGTAGAAAATGGTATTAATACAAATATGCAATCCTATATAAAAAAAGAGAGCAGTAACCTGAGACTTGTTGATCGTCACTAAAAAATTAAAAATGAGGTATCACATTTGCTAGTTGTGAGCGAGAAAAAAAGTTTACAATATCGTAAACTTGGTTTTGGAAACAGGGTATATAAGAAAGGATAACTGAAAACTATAGAAGACAAGCAAAAACCTCATTACCAGGACCTCGATCGGGATCAGAAGGAATTGCGTTAAATGAATGTTAAGGCCTAGCCAATAGTAATACGCACATTTGGCACCTTCTCTAAAGTACAAAAGGCGAGAGTGAAGGAATGAAAAATTCGAGAGTTATTGGAATATTTAATTCTTCTAAAATTTTGAAATTTAGTCAATCTCTCTCATTATTTCTATTATTATATATATTTATATATATATATATATATATATATATATATATATATATATATATATATATATTAAATATATTTATAAATATGGTTTCAACGCGAATTTTGATTCCAAAATTAAATGAAACAGAACTAATGCTTTTAATTTAATTATATAATTGAGTTTGAAGTTTTTTGGTTTTTGTTTTTTGAAACATGGTAATTCCTGTGTAGCGATGAAACCATATTTTTTAAATCAGTTAATTTATAATATTTAAATTTACATTGAACACTGTTTTGTAAAAATAAAAATATCAATAAGAACACCGGATTATATATCTTCTTTCTTTTTTTTTACTATATTGATTATATGATTATCTGCGGTCTTGTTATATCGAATGTGCCGAAATTTGTGTCCAATACCTCTTCTTGAGGTGGACCGTTAGCATCCTGTAACGGTCTCTTTCTTATTTGGTTTAGGTGTCTTCTGTGTGAGAATTTTTTTCCTTGAACTATGTACATCATATTGCCAATTCTTTCCTCAATTATCCCTTGTTCCCAGCAAGAGGTATTATTTTTGTATTCCTTAAAAAAAATATTTTCCCATGGGAGGAATTTTCTTTTTGGTGTGTAGGACTATATTACTTGTTTTGTTTTACTTGGTATTAATTTATCGAACGCTGATCTGATTTTCCCAGCAAACATGATACTGCTGGTGATAATGTTGATGGTGTCGCATTATTTGGCGTTATTCTATACACCTGTAGGAATTGTTGTAATGCTTTCTCCGTAGGCACATCGTACGCTTTTCGTAATGTTCTTTTGAGAGTATCCACGAATCTCTCCGCTTGTCCATTTGATCTTGGATGGTAAGGCGGGGATTTTATATGTTTTATTTGATAGATTTCGCAACACTCTTGGAAATCTGCTGACGTGAATTGCGTTCCGTTATCTGTTACTAAACAGTCCACTACGTCAAACCGAGCGAATAGCTCGTGAAGGAAATTTATGGTCGTTTCTGTAGTAGGATTTTTCACCGAGACACCTCCGGCCATTTACTGTAGCTATCAACTATGATTAGATAGTAGAACCCGTCAATTGGTCCTGCATAATCTGCGAGTATTCTTGACCATGGGCGATCAGTTTCAGGCCAAGGCTTATGTATGATTGGCGGTGCTTTAGCTGCTAAATTACAACCCTTGCACATTTTCACCATTTGAGAAATATCCTGGTCCGTATTCTTCCAATATACATAGCTTCGCATTAGCGACTTCATTCTATTTTACCCGGGTGTCCTCTGTGGAAATCCTTTAGTATCCGTTTTTGTAAAGTTTTGGGGATTACAACCCTTTCGTTGTAAGTAGCACATTATCGCATAGAGAAAAGCTGTCCGAAATTTTCTCATTTTTTTCTGCTATTTTTGCTTTTTGTTTCATTAATAAATTCTTCATTTTGGCTTCATTTTTTTATATCTTGCAATGTGACTGGAGGTTTCTGACTGTACAACATAGTACTGTTCTTATGTCTTCATTTCTAAGGGCTGCGATTACCGTATCTTCTAATGGCTCTGTCTTTGTTGGTATGAGTCTCGACAGAGCATCCGCGTGCCCGATTATTTTCGTTGGTAAATATTCCAATCTGAAATTTTAGTTCAGAAGAATCGTTCCCCATCTAAGTAGCCTATTTGCCGTGTACACCGGTAGAGTTTTTTTTAACCAAAATTTTTTATTAACGGTTTGTGATCCGTCTACCATAGACGTATCTATGGAATCTTGTTACTGCGAAGATGATTGCTAGAGCTTCCTTCTCAATTAGAGAATAGTTTTTCTCCGCTGGTAGTAGGGTTGGAGAAGCATGTACGATAGGTTTTATTGTCCCATCTGGCATTTTATGTAATATACACGCTCCGACACCCTAGGCGCTCGCATCACTTGCTACAACAATCTCTAGTTTAGGATCATAGTGTGCCAAAAATAAATCCGATGTTAATGTCTTGATTATTTTTTCAAATATTTCCTGGCATTGATCTACCCATTGTCAAACTTTTTCTTTCTTTAGCAGTTCGTTCAATGGTGCGCGAAGTTTATACATTTGAGGTATGAATTCCTGGTAGTAATTCACTAATCCAAGAAAAACTTTGTAGTTCTGTTATGTTCTTAGGAACTGGCATCTTTTATTGCTGTAGACCTTTCAGGGTCTGGACGTCTACCTTCTTGGTCTATTATATGGCCAAGATATTTAATTTCCTTCATGAAAAAATCACACTTATTTTCTCTCATTTTGAATCCGTAGCTTTGAATTCTCTTAAACACTTCTAGTACATGTTGCCAGTGTTGTTCAATGCTTTCGCTATTAATCAATATGTCATCCAGATATGCTAGTGTGTATTCTAGTCCTGCCAGCATCGTATCCATTGTCTGCTGGAAAATAGCCATGCTACTTTAATTCCAAATGGTAGTCTTTGGTGTCTGTACAATCCCTTGTGTGTGTTTATGCATAGTAGTTTTGAACTTTCTTCATCGACTGGAATTTGCAGGTAGGCCTCACTTAGATCAATTTTTGAAAAATATTTACCGCCATTTAATTTAATATTTACTTCTTCCGGACTAGGTAGCGGATAGTGGTAGTTCTTTATTGCTGCGTTCAAACCTGTAGAAAAATCAGCACAAACTCGAATTTCTCCTGATTTCTTTTTAACGTAGACCGTCGGTGCGGCCCATTTGCTGTACTCTACTTTTTTCAATATGCCCGTTTTTTTCGAGTCTAGATAATTCTTGGTCAATCTTTTCTATTGACGCAAACGGTACACTCCTTTTTTTCTGAAAATAGGTTGAACGTTATCCTTTATTTTGATATTAGCTGCCATTTTCTTGCATCTTCCGAGAACTGCCGAAAATACTTCGGGGAAACTCGTTTTTTGTTTTCCTTTTAATTTGTCTGCCTCGGTTGATAGGCTTTTTACATTTTGGCAGTAAGTGCTAATAGGTAGATCCCACAATTTGAATTTTTGCATCCAGTCTGTCCCGAATAGGTTTTTGGTATTTCTTAAGACGTACATTTTTAGTTTTTTCGTCATTTCGTTACGTTTGTGATTATTTCAACCTCGAATTTTATCTTTCTCCCCGTAACTGATCTCGCAATTTTATCCGTTTTTAACATGACAGGTTTGTTCAGTTTTCTCCATGTTTGTAGATTTAGGATAGTTAAGTCTGAGCCAGAATCCAGCTGTAACCTAACTTTTCTGTTTTGCATTTCAACTGGTACATATTTTCTTATATTAGTCTCAACTGTTTGGTCGGTCCTCGTAATTCTTATTCTGCTTTCTTTTCTATACCAACAATGAGAACTTTTGTGACCAATTTTTTTACAAGCTAGACAAGTTTTAGCACGATATGTACAGTTTTTAACCCAATGCCAAGACCCATAACGATAGCATGGACTTGGTGGTAGTTTCTTTTTATGTTGATTATAATTAGAAAATTTCGTTTTACCTGTTGTTGAGGCGGGAAAATCAGTTTGCTTTGTTTGTGAGGAGGGAAAATTTGTTTGTCTTCGTATTTTGCGTATGTATGCTATGCCAGCTTGTTCTATGTCTTTAGAGTCTTTTTTTACGCTGGCAGTCTTCGGCTAGTTTTTGAAGTGTCAGATCTGGTTCATTTTCCAATTTAGTAAGTATTCTACGTCGCATTTCTGCGTCTTTGGTTGAAACCAGACCTTGGACGTAAATTAAGCATTTGAAGTTGTGAAATTATTGACCCTTAGGTCCCCCCACTTTTTTAAAAAAATAATTGCTCTAACCGTTACCATAGTAATTTTAATTTTAATAATGAATATGCTTATAAAAACGCGTAAATTTCAAGAATTAGTTATTCCCCAAAAAATTTCGCTTGAAGATGGAACAGAGCTTGGTACTTTAATTCAATTTAATTCAAATAATTATATTGAAGTTTTCGGCTCTTGTTTTGAAACATGAGATCTCTTATGTGGCGATGGAATCATATTTTTAAATAAATAATTATACACACACACACACACACACACACACACACACATATATATATATATATATATGAGTGTACGCAAAAAATCTCAGACTGAGCGTTATTTTAATAAAATCTTATGAAATATTAGCAGCTCTTGTATATATTCTATAAAAAGTCTGACAATTTTTTTTAATATCTAATGTGAATTAGCATTTTATTTTTTTTAGTGAAATTAATAGCTAACTTATCTTCACGATTCTGAGTACTTTCACCTTTTCTCCTAGAGATGGAATCGTGTCGGTCTGAAACATGAATGTGCTTCAGACTGGGTTTAAACACCAACATCTGCGAAAACCTGCAGACAAGAATCGATAATTCAAGAGGTAGGCACATTGACCGATAGAAATCAAAATGATTGTGAGATAATCGATATGAAATGAATGATAAATCAATAGCGATTTATGTAATAAACTGATAGGATGTCTGTACTGGCATAAACCACACACACACACACACACACACACACACACACACACACACACACACATATATATATATATCTATATATATAGTTTAGAGTTTGCTACATTTATAGGTGAAAAGGTCGTAAAATAAGCGATAGAGTATTTATACATAGTTTGGACATAGGAATCAGTACTGGATGGTGACTGTGTCTTTCACGACTCAAGTGATCTTCAAACCATACATCCATGTATATTTATATCAATCTCTTATCTATCTATCTATCTATCTATCTATCTATCTATCTGACTCATGGACGAGAAAGATGGAACACAACAAAATCATTTTAAAACGAACAACTCTTACTGTAAGGAGTAATTCTTGAGATAACTCAAAGAGAAAAAGGTCAACACAAATTTGAGAAAAGATACGGAATACAAGTGACTGAACGACAATGATGAAAATGGCAGAACAAGCAGAAAGGATAGTAGGTGAAGCAAATGGTTGCTTGAATGTTGTACAATGGAAATCAAACGCATTAGATAAAAAACAAATAACGGTTGGAGAGATTAGGCTCGTCATCTTGTTATTGTAATATCTATCTTTCTATCTGTCTATCTATCTGGAAGAGACTGAGACAGATATCTATCTATCTCTGTCTCTTCCCTATCAATCTATCTATCTATCTATCTGGAAAAGATTGAGACAGATTATCTATCTATCTATCTATCTATCTATCTATCTATCTATCTATCTATCTATGTCTCTTCCCTATCTATCTATCTATCTATCTATCTATCTGGAAGAGACTGAGACAGATTATCTATCTATCTATCTATCTATCTATCTATCTATCTATCTATCTATTGAATACGTAAATAAATTTCAAGTGTGTATTTCCCGGTAGCGAATTTCGCAGAATTAAATCTGTAATTTAGGGTCAAGATATTTGGTTGTTCGGAAAATAATGTCCTATTTTAGCATAAAACGTTTGTGTTCTTATCATAATTTTTGCAGAAAAATATATTCCTCATTGCTAATGATTGTCTTGAACTTCCTTAGTACGAGGGGGGAGTTCTGCGCTCCCCGCACTTGGGCGGCCCCGGCTGGACCTCTCCCAGTCTCCCGCGGCTGTTCCTAAGGATACAGCTTCTCTTCAGGTGCCCTGGTCTCCCACAGAACCAGCACCCTCTTGCCGGACAGTTCACCGCAAAGTGGCCCACCTGACCACATGTCCAACATTTTGCTCTTTTTCTCTTCAACTGGGCTGGCCTCCCGTTTACTCCCGGGGGACCTGTCCTCTACCCAAGCGGCTCGCTTGACCACTGGTCCAAGCTTTTATTTCCCTTCTTTTTAACTGGGCCACCCTCCCTCTTAATTCCGGGGTGGCCCGCTGGCTTCCTGGTCCTGTCTCTTGGGCTCAGCCTTCTTTGTTAATATCGGTGGGGCACATTTTCTCAGCCCGCACCACTCTGGCCAGGTGTCCTTTCTTTCCACACCTGGTGCACCTGTCCTGTTCGAAGTCTGGGGCAAACCCCACTTCGTCGGACATTCCGCCGCCCTGTGGTCCCATGCCCCACAGGTCCAGCAGACCAGCCCGTATCTACCCGGCGTGGGCTTATAAAACCCATGCCTGGTTGACCATGCCTTTCTATTGGGTCTTCTTCCCACACCTCAGGCTGATCTACTTCTAGTTTGACCTTCCGATTCCACAGGGGGGTCTTCCGCCTCCCCCTTCTTCCGGCCTCTTGACTTAGTATCTGTTTCTTCCACACCTTTTCACCTTTTCCCCATACGCCCTGGCTCTCCTTGGCCAGCTCTATTGCCGCCGAAAGTCTCAGCGGTCCCTCTTTCAGCACGTCGTGACGAACACGCTCGTCACTTAGTGCCTCCACATACAGGTCTGCTAGTTGAGCCTGCATGACCGCATTGTCTCTAACCACCTCCGGGAAGGCCAATGATGACAGCTTCTGCTCGGGCCCCAATTCTCCAGGGGTTTCGTCCCGCAGCTGTGTCAGCTTTTAGGAGGGCCCTCATGGCCTCTATAGCCGTGCCCTCGTCGGCGAATTCCTTGGTCAATAGTCCCTTTAATCTTTCCCAAGACAAGTGGGGTTGACTCTCCAAGAGCTCATTCATAAACTCAGAGGCTTTCCCTTTTGGCATCGTATGCCAGATACAGGGTTTCGTGGTCTGTGAGCCCATATATAACTCTGCTCTTCTCCAGGATTGCCAGCCAGTTTTTGAAATCTTTCCCTTCTGCCGTCAAATGCTGGGACCCTCGGTCCACCCAACAACCTTCTTAGGTCAGTTGACAACCCCTGTCTAACCCCTCTTCATCCCCCACTGCTCTATCTGAATCATAGTCCGACATATTTAAGGAGAAAGACAATCTACGCAGCAACAATCGAGGTTGGGAAATCAAACAAAGTGTCCTACCTTACAGACGATTCTGTTCTCGTTCCTCTCGGTCCCGGGTCGTTTGAGTCCTATTCGAAATTTCTCAGCAACAGCGGTCGATCAGGATCCTGTCCTGCTGTCACGGTACTAGTTGTGGCAGTGGCTGTTCCAGGGTCCTATCCTATGGTCACGGCACCACGTGACGTCGTCCCCCGGTCGCAGCGCCAACTGTGACGTTCTATCCTGATCTACCGGCGCCAGTTGTGACGTCCCCAAACAGCACCAATTGTGACGTCCTCGCCGCGGCGCCAGCTGTTCGCTCCTCGCTGCTCCGTCCGGGTGTCGCTGCTCCAAACGTGACGTCCGCCTGTCGCGTCAGTCGTGTTGTCTCATCCTGTGACGACCAACTGGCTTGGTATCGGTCGCGGCACCCAAATGTGACGTTCTAACCTTTTGGTGATTCGGGTGGGAATCTGGTTAGATTTGATATCAGCCTCGTCGTTCCCAACTCGTTTCCAACGCCTGGTTACCAAGGTAACTGCATTGATCTCCAGTCTGCCTACCCACGTTGTGAATTGATCTTAGACAGACGAGAATCAAACAGTGGTTGGGCCGTAATGCAAATTGAGTTCAACGGGGGTGATACTACACAAATATGCATAAAAAATAAAATGAAAACTCAAAAAGTTCAAAGTATCAAAAGAAAAAGGTAACAAACTTTATGTCTAGTTGTTCGATACATGGGACTGCATCTATCTCCCGACCCGTTCTGTGGATTGTGACACGTTGTTTCCGCTAGGCAAGTTTTAACGCTTCAAGTTGTCTGCTCTCTAAGAAATTGGTGTTTCGGTGTGTCTTTGGACGAGAGTCGAAAAAACTTATTTCGGTGGTCTGGTTCTAAGTCGCTCTTTAAAATAATTGTTTTTGGGTTGAAGAGGAGTCCGGAATTTGCGTGAATCTTGGTCAGCTATCTGCGAGGCGGTTTCAATTGGAGACTGACTCTGTGAACTCAACTCTGGAAACTCTAGCCCGAACTGATTTCTGCCTGTTGGGGCCTCGCTTTTATTGACGCCAAACAAAACCGGGTTGGGTCTGTTGGCGTTGGGGGTTCCTCGATAATTCTAAATACATATCCTCTTTTTATTTCTGGTTGGGGATTTTCCTCTTTTCCATTTTGGGAACCTTTCCTCCCCCACTTTCTCCACCATACCTCTGAGGGGCGTGAACTGCCCTCCCCACTTCTTTGTAGCAGCTTCTCATACTTATACTCTGGATGGGGCGTCGACAGCCTTCTTCGCGCGTCACGTGATCACCACTCGGCCAATGAGGTCTTGGTCGGGTATCTTTCCTCCTCCTTCGTGCGTCACGTGACCACCACTTGACCAATGATGTCTTAGTCGGGCGTGAACAATCCATGGCTTTGTTTCGGAAAAAAAAATATCTTGCTTAACTAAAAAAAAAAAATGATCTCTTCTCTTTCCCTTTTCTTCCTTTCAATTGCCGTTATCACCCTTCTAGTCGCAACGGACAATATGACAACTCTTGTTTTACGCGTGGTGTTTGTAAGGTATTTTATCGCTAATTTATCAAGATGGGTGGTATCCTTAACATGGCTTCAAAAAAGAAATATCCCCAAAGTTTTCAGTCAGTCTGTCGCCTCAAGGAAGAAAGAAAAAACACTTCTGGGTCCCCATTCATTTTCCTTCGGTACATATTCCTGATAACATAATTTTATTATCGCAGGCCAAAGTTGTTTCGTCAAAAAAAATTCGGTGCACTACTTGTGTGGCATTTAATTTTTCATATCTGTCCAAAGTCCTTTTAGTGGCTGTTTCTCGTCACTTATCGAAATAGCATTTTCACTTGAATTTTCCCTGGCCAGTGGTCTAGATAACACAGCCGTTATCAAAACACATCTGATTCCTTCTTTCTTTTCCCTTTCTTTTTTACTCAGAAATTCCCTGTCATTGTAATGACACCCTTTTTCATTTGTTACTTATCAATATTTTCATTGTCTCTTAGCCGTGTGTGTGACTGCTTATCACCTACGATTCGTCTCGCCTTTCTTTCTGCCTTCCTTTCTTTCTCTTCCTTTCTCTGACTCGGAAATGGTGCCACATTGACTTGTGATGAGAACTGGATCATTTATGACAATCTTAAGCTATCGGCTCAATGGCTTTGATCATGACGAAGGTCCCAAACACTTTCCAAAATCGAAGATTATTCTGACTGTCTGGTGGTCCGCCATTGGCTTTCCCCGTTACAACTTACCAGTATCTTGCCGGAGCATCACAGCCGAAGTTTTCTGCCAACAACTGGGTGAAATGTACTTTCAGTTAAGCGAAATGCAACTGGCATTGCTTAATGAACGATTTCCAATTCTGTCTCATGAAAATCCTCGTCCAAATCTTGCCAGGATGACATTGCACAAGCTTACCGACTTGGGATACGAGACTTTGTCACATCCGCCATATTGCACTGTTCTTTCGTCTCCCACTTTTTAAAGCGTCTTGACAATTTTTTTTTTATGTTAAAAGATATTCCGTTACAAAGAAGATCCAGAACTTGCATTCAAAGATTTCTTGGTGTCTAAACCTTTAGCGTTGTTTCGTAAAGACATAACTAGTCTTGCAACTCGATGGCAGAAATGTATAGATGTCCAGGGTTACTATTTTGGGTGATCGACACTGCTTATAAATTAATGCATGCATAAAGTGTGACAATCAATTTCCGAACAAGCTAATGTGTCATTTTATTATACATATTTTATTATGGAGATACGTTTCAGAAGATTTTTTTTTTATCAATGTTCTATTTTTTAAATATTGAGCATTTTATTTATAAAATCGGCTGGCCTTAAATACGTTATAATCCAGTAGTATCCTGGTCAACTTAGATCGAGATACCACCCTTCACAGATACTATATATTAATCAATCAATCTCTGCTGTTTTTCCTTATATATATATATATATATATATATATATAAAGAAAGAACAGTAAGATATATAATCCGGTGTTCTTATAGATATTTTTATTTTTACAAAATAGTGCCCAATGTAAATTTACAGAGCATTAATATTATAAATTAATTGATTTAAAATATGGTTTTCGCTTTACACAGTTCTAACCATGTTTCAAAAATGGAAGCTAAAATCCCTGAATTTAATTTTGTGATTAAATTAAAGACATTAGTTCCATTTCATCCTCAATATATATATATATATATATATATATATATATATATATATATATATATATATATATATATAAAGGAAAAAACAAAAAGGGAGAAAGAGAGAGATAGGAGGGCGTGTTCAGTTAATTTGTTATTTCTCCTAAAATCTTGAAATGAAAATGTCTATCTATCTATCTATCTATCTATCTATGTCACTTTCTCCATATCTATCTATCTATCTATCTATCTGTTCATATGTCAGTCTATTCTCATCTATCTATCTATCTATCTATCCGTTCATATCTCATTTTATTCTTATCTATCTATCTATCT